AAATTGTTCTCCCTGCTTTTTCTGCCTCTCCAGGGCCAAGTTTCTGATCCGTCTATAGTAACATGGCAGAGATGCGAGGGGATCCAAAGTCTTGCCTAATTTGCATTGGCTACTTTTGTTGTTCCCAGAAAAGGCTGCTGATGGTGGTGGGGACTTCTGTAGGTGTCCACATTTTGTTTCCTGCTTTGGGTTGCTTTTATAGAATAGGGCTAGTTAGAACTATCCAGAAATGGACAGAACATTGGAGGTCTTCAAGCAGAGGGTTTCCAGCCCAGGTATTGGTTGATCTAGAAATGGAGATGATCTCTGAGGTCCTTTAAACCTGTAATGTTGTAGCTCTGGATGCCTCAGAATCTTTTCTGTGGTAAGTTCTGGGGTCTTGGAAGGCCTTTTCTACTGGTCATCCCCTATGGTGAGAAGATACTCTATCTCACAGAGCTTCTTTCTTCCTTTAAGATGCTGCCCAAGTACTATTTTTCTGCATAAAGTCTTTCCTGTTCTCCCATTCCCACTCTTCCTCCTGCCAACTACTCAAGCCTTCTTCTCGAACTGCCATGTACTTCACTAATTTGTGAGTATTTCTATCTATTCACTTTATTTTTATGCTGTGTGACCAAACTTGAAAAGATGAGAAACAATAGTAAGACATGCCCCTTCCATAGTATCATTGATTTAGAAGTGGAAGGCATTTTAGAAGTCACCTATTCTAACTCCCTCGTTTTACAGATGAGGGAAACTGAGGGCCACCAGAAAGGTGAAGGGAGTTGCCCAAGGTCACATAAGTAGTAAGTAGCAGAACTGAGATTTGAACCCAGTTCCTCTGACTCCAGATCCAGCAATCTTTCTACTCTATCATGATGCCTATTTCTCTTCTTACCTTCCCTCCTCACAGATTAATTTTGTCAATCTTTATGGAGGCAGGTAGGCAAGTACAGTGTTGCTGGGCCCGGGGTAAGGAAAATCTGAGTTCAAATCCAGCTTCAGGCACTAGCTGTGTGATCCTGGGGAAGTCATTTAACCTCTGTTTGCCTCAATTTCCTCAACTGTAAAATGGGGATAGTAACAATACCTACTTCCCAGGGTTATTGTGAAGATCAAATAAATTAATATTCGTAAAGTGCTTTTCCCAGTGCTTGGCACATAGTAGGTACTTCATAAATCTTTCCTTCCTTCCTTCCTTCCTTCCTTTATACCTCAATACTGTAATCCTGTATTGAAGTCAAAATTTTCATCATCTCTCAGCAACCTCAGGGCCCAGGAAGGTTAATCAAACTCAGTTCCTCAAAACAAAACAAAACAAAACAAAACAAAAAAAACAACTCAATTCCTCAGACTGTAAATCCAGTACTTTTCCTGTCATACCTACCACACTGCCTACTCTCACATGGCCCTGGGAAGAAGCTATTGTCACAGATGTCTCTCATATACTTATTTTTAATTAGTTATTTTGTATATTTGCTTTTCATCCCAGTCTCCCCTTGCTGTCCACTAGACTATAAGCTCCTTGAAGACAGGGATAGTATCTTGTTTAATCTTTGCATTTCCCAGTGTTGAGCACAGTGCATTCAATGGCTCATATATAGAGCAGACTGAACCATACTGTCTAAGCCACAGGCTCTCTCTAAATTCTAAGGGTACCCTAGAGGTGAGATGAATGAGATCCTTGCAAACAGAGAAAGCCTAGCATAGAGGAAATAGCATGAGCCTGGAATTTGAGTGCCTTTGGATTATCCCTGCCTCAGTCACATACTAGTTATGTGACGTTGGGCAAATACTTCACTACTCAGTGCCTCATTTTACCTTTCTGTGAAACAAGGATAAGAACACCTGCACTGCATCCCTAATGGGATTGTTGTGAGGACAGAGTTCTACCAATATAAGCTACTAGATTAATTATTGGGCTACTACAAGGCTCTCCTTTGAAAGTCAGCCTCATTGTCAATTGTTGTGATGTGGATTTTCAAATGTGGCCCCAGGACCACAGTCCCCTTTTTCCACTGTGATTGTGAAGACTCTTGGCTATTTTATACCTTTTGTAGGAGAAAATATCTTACAGTTTTTTTGGAAGACCTAGGTTTGAATTCTAGCTCTCTCACTTAGTAACTGTGTGACCTTGGGCACGTTTCTTCTGAGCCTCATTCTAAGCCTCAGTTTCTTCATCTGTAAAAAGGTGATACAATACCTATCTCAGGAGGTTATTCAAGCAGCTAGATAGCAAAGTAGATGGGCTGAACCTGCAGTGAGGAAGACATGAGTTCAAATCCAGCCTTAGACAATTACTAGCTGGTGTGAGTCTGGGCAAGTCACATAGAATCTTTGCCGCCCCTGCTGCTGCTACTGCAGCTAGATGGTGTAGCAGATAGAGTCAAGAAGACCTGAGTTTGAGTCTTGACTCTTACTAGTTAAGTGAATCTAGGCAAATCACTTAACCCCTCTTTGCCTCAGTTTCTTCAACTGTAAAATGGGGATAAAAATGACTTGTTCCTCATGTAGTTGTTGTGAGGATAGAATGTCAAGCATTTTGCAAATATTAAAACTCTACATAATGTTAGTTATTATTATCATCTTCTTTCTCCTTCTCTGTAAATCTTCCCAACACTTCTGAGTATCTAAAATACATTACCTTCAATGCTAAACCTTCACTGATAAACCAGGTACTCATTATCCAGTTCCAATCAGAGGGAGTTTTAGCAATAGCACTTACTTTCCTCCCATTCTGAAGAAACTGCAAGCATTCAGCCTTGCCTGCTGGAATGGATGGTTAAGTCTCTTGGAGTCCTGCACCATTTAACATAGGAAACAAAACCAATGTTCGTGATTTTTTTCCACAGGTTCCCTGGAGCTCAAGTCATTACTGAGCTCGGGTGAAGAGACTTGCAGAGACAATCCTTATCATCTAAAAGTGTCTACCCAAAATGGATTGTAAGTGTTGTAGCTGCATGAAATTTCCCAGAAATTAGCTATCTTGTCTAGACCAGACTAGTGAGATGTGAGACCTTTAGACCAGCTTCCTTTGATTTTTTTTCTCCAAGAACCAATCAGAAGGTGAATGATTTCAGACATCATTATCATTAAAGACAACCATAGAAGATAGCCAAAGTGGGCTTGTTTGGGGACCAGAATGTGGGTTTTGATTTCTTTTGATGTCTGTATCACGTCCCTACCCTTTCTCATGTCATGGTTGGGAACTAGTCTGACCTCCTTCAATCTTTTGTTGGCTGCCTCCAGATACAGAGAAATGGACTTGGTGATTGGGGAGACTGGGGCACTGACCCTAGAGGCAACTGCTCTTACTCTAAAGTAATCTGGCTTAATCTTTAGCACCCAGAAATCTGAGGTTGAAATGATTCATTCTGATTATTAATTTGGGATAGCAGCTTAAGACAGATTTACCAGTGGGTGGCTTTGGAGAATGCCATGATCTTCTCTGTTTCACCTGGCCTATTTGAGTCAAGGTTTGCCTGTATCCATAGTGATTAACATCAATGATGTCACTTAAGAAAGGTGAAGGTATCTCCATTTAAAACCAAGAAGGAAAGAAAGGGGACAACTCTAAAGCATGCTGTAAATCTCTTGGATGGTGAGAGACTTTGTCCATAGGCTATGATTTAGATGAAAATGAAGGAATTTAAAATGGAGCCCCAGAAATAGGCAATTTATTTTGTTATTGTTGTTGTTTGTCCTTTGTTTTCAAAGATAACCATGACATCAGCAAGGTAATGCCATGACTTGAAAGTGAATTGGACTTAAGTGATCGAGGGCTGTGCAAAGTCACCTGCCTCACTTTCTCCTCCCGAGCCATCTGGGCCCAGTGGCAATATATAGATCAGGACAACTGGAGATGGTCCCAATTTATCTAAGCAAAACTTCGAAGCCACCTCAACTGCACTCAGGGACAGCTTGATGACCAGTCATGGCATATGAATGTTCTGCTGTGAGCCCTTGCACTACAGGAAGGCTTCCAGGGTTCTCCCTCCTTTTCCCACCATTAAAGATTTATTTCCTTTGTGTCTTAAAAGTTTTTCCTCTCTAATAGTTCTCTATTAGAAGGCAAATACCCTCAAAATGGAGAATCATATCTGAACCTTTACCAGACATTGATACATTAGCAGAAATTAGATTTTTAGGATGCTTTCCAAGAAGACAACTTAGTTGGGACCTTTGTACTAGCTGTTCCCCCAGGCCTGGACTCTCCCTCCTCCTGGACTGCTTCTTGGAACCCCCATTTTCCTTTGAAACTCAGCTTGTGTCACCTGCATGAAGTCTTCCTAATCATCCCCTAGCTGCTAATGCTTTTCCTTCCCCAAACTACCTGGTATTCATTTTACATATATTATGTATATGCTTATATACATACATATAAACACACACATATATGCCTCACATACATATACATATATATATATTTTATATATAAGTCAACTCCTCTATTAGATTGTAAGCTCCTTGAGGGCAGGGACTGTACACTTTTGTTTACCTCCAGCGTATACTAGATACATATATGATTTTTGATTGAATGGGAGGAAGGTTTTTAAGAAATAGAATGTAGGATTTGGGGCGGAGGGCAAGACCTGGGACTTGAAGACCAACATAGGTGAATAGGGACCTGAAAGGGGTGATAGAAAGTATGTATCTATGGACAAATGAAAAAGTCATAGCATAGAATGTTCAAACTGGAAGAATCCATACATAGGTAACAAAGTAGAGTGAGAATTTGAATCTGGGTCATTTGACTACAGATCCAATATACTTTCCAATGTATCATACTGCTTTTTGTGATTCCCTATGTGACCTTGGATAAATCGCTTTTCCTTTATGAAACTCATCTTTTCTCATCTATAAAATGAAAGGGTTAAAATTTGCTCTCTAAGGCCTCTTAGGGCAGCTAGGTGGCACCATAGTGCACAGAGTACTGAACCTGGAGTCAAGAAGACCTGAGTTTAAATATGGCCTCAAACCCTTACTAGTTGTGTGACCCTGGAAGACAGATGGATACTTACGCAAGACTCGAACTCCATGCTTTAGAGCTTGGACACGGCTGGGTTCTATGGACATACTGAGCATGGTCTGTTGCCCTCCAATTGTGCAGACCTGGTTCTGCTGGGCTGCCTGGTGGAACATGATGGTAAGCTGGTCAGCAATGATGGTATTCAGGACCGAAATGACCACCATTGGGAATAGGAAGGAGATGAACGCATTGACCTGTGGAAGGAAAAAAAAACCAAGTAGAATAATTATACTTTATTTTATCCTCTTGTACAAAGTTCTGCTGAAGCTTCGTTGATGGTTTCCCTACCTCCAGCTTCTCTCCTCTCCAGTCTATCTTGCAGAGATTTCTAGGTTTGTTTGTTTGTTTTTGGAAGTGAGCCTCTAAAATGAGTCTGGACCTTTTATTTCACCAATTCAGGAAACTTCTGGTAAGGAAACTCTTCACTGATGGTCATCAGATCTTCAACTTATTTGTAATGATAATCATAGAGAGCTACTTGAGGGCATTGAGAAATTAAATGATTTGCCAATGGTCACACAGCTAATAAGTATCAGAATCAGAATTTGAACTTAGCTCTTCCTGACTGTAAAGTCAATTCTCTGTCCCCTATGCTACAGCTGCCAGATGAATCATTCCAAAACATGTATTTCATCTCTGATGCTTATAACTTGTTCGACCTTGGTCAAGTTACTTAACTTTTGTAACCTCAATTTCCTTTTCTGCAAAATGAACAATATTAAATGGATGGCCTTTGAGGTCCTTTCCGGCTCCATAGCTATGACCCCATGATTCTTTCCTATTGAAAAATCTTCAGTGACTCTTCCCTGTCTATAGATTAAGGTCTATATTCCTTAGCCTGAAGTCAAAGCCCTACAAATTTGGCCCCAGAATGCCTCATCTGTCAGTATCTCCCCTCTTCATGTCCCATACTGCCACAACATAGACCATAATATAAAGGACATTCCAGCCATATTGGTCTTATTGTCCACTGAATGAACTAATGCACTTTATATACTCTTACTTCCACTTCTTTGTTCATATCATTTTCCACTGTCCCTCTCTCTCTCTCTCTTAATCTTATATGACATTCAAAGTCTAGCTCATGCCGGCTTTCTTCTGTGGAGTCCTCACTGATCATTGTATTCTACAGTACTCTTTCTCTTCCTCCTCTGATCTCTTAGAGTACTTCACTGCTTAATTTGGCACGTGGCATCTGCTACCATGGGATTGTTAATTCATTTTTCTCTAGTGTGTGCATATCCTCTCAACAATTCAATTCATTTGTAAACTCCTACCTCTGCAGAGGCTTGCACTGGCCTGGGCACACAATAGGATTAAATAATTCGTTGAATGAATGAATGTAGGAAAGAAGAAAGAAAGAAAGAAAGAAAGAAAGAAAGAAAGAAAGAAAGAAAGAAA